AAACCCCAAAACCCCAAAACCCCAAAACCCCAAAACCCCAAAACCCCGCTCTTTAGAATGTTGAATATTGAGTGATTACTTAAATAAAATTTTCAAATAGAAGTGGAAGCATCTACATTGCTTGGAAGTAGATAGATGTATGGATATTTAGCAGTCTTATTGAATTCCAAAATGTCTTGCTCTATCTCATGAAGTTTCTTTTTGAATTCATCGAATGCTTTCTCTGCGTTGGGTATTCCATTCTCCTCTGTGTGCTCTTGGTGAATAAATGGTGATCTGAGAGTTAAAAGAGTTGGAACTGTTCTAGCAGTTAGATTATTAACTACAGCAAGTGCTCCTAAGAATTGAGAGTTAGTAAGAAATGAATCTTAAACAAAATTGAGGGATACATCTCTGCTACTCTAGTCAATATGATGCTTTCTTAGCTTTTCAAGGTATGTTGATAATCTTGGCAAAGGTTTCCTCATGCCTGGACATCTTAAAGGCAAATAAGCATAAGAGCTAGCCTAACTAAAGTTAGTGGCAGAGTGATAAGCTGAGAGCTGCCAAATCAACTTAGCCAGGACTGAGATTAATTGAGCCCTACTCTCAGGTTTTGCTGGGAATCCTTTAACATCTCCTTTGTCTTCATCATGAGTTTCTTTAAAGAAATGATCTAAAAGCTAATCATTTTAGACTGCTTGGTCATTTTTATAGAACCCATTTACTGTTTTTTCAACATATCTCCAGATAGCATCATAAATGAGCTTTCCATCTCTGAAGTATCTATATTTATCACCATGCTTGAAGTTTTAATCGAATCCTCTTTATCTAAGTTCGTCATAGAAGCCTACATTAGTATTCCAAATGTTATCTTTTTACTAGAACCATTCACCAAATACGAGAGGAAATTAGTTGCCTGGAACTCCAAAGAATTCACTCAACTTGTCATCGACTCTAGCAATCAAGGTTTCTCTACCTAGAGTATTGATAGCGATCAAATTAATGAAATGAGGACTAAGTATATCTCCTATGTATTTGCAACCTTTGAACCTATTTGCAGTTGCTTTATATGAATATGTATTATGATGTGCGACTGCAATCGGCTCACACATTAAATGGGCCATTCCTAAATGCATGATAATTTCATGTGCCTAACTATCAGCACATAGCGCATGAGTTTTAGCTAAAAGCCAAATGTTTTTTGGAGTGTATTACCCTCTCCATGTGACATTTTCTGGGCTATAGACTTCAAACATAGAACCATCTTTACCGTGATAGAAACCAATACCTAATATGGTAAATCTATTTTCTGCATTTACTCCAATCAAAATTTCAGGTTCCATTACTAGAATTTCTCTTTTTAGATCCTCGTTAACGTTAGGGTAAACAAAAGCTCTCAATTCAGGATATTTGCAAACTAAAAGATCTCCTCTACCGAACTGCTCAACTAAGGGATACCCTTTACTATCCTTTAAGTGAATGAATTCTTGATGGATCTTCACACCTATATGGTCTACAACTTATACTGAGAATGGATTTACTCCATTAACAAGTTCATGACAGAAATATTCATCCTCACTCCAATTCTTAGCCACCACTTCTCTAACTGGATCATATTTTGATGCATCAGGTAGAAAAGCTAAATATTAGTCTTAGTTTTCTCTTGATCCTTTAGTGAAATCTAAGGTTGAGTCAAGACTTGCAGCAACTGTCCTAAAGATTATTTATCTGGATTATTGTCTGAAGCCAAATCCTACATTTTCAGCTTTCTTAGGAAGTCTGAGCTTCTTCCTATTTCTATCTTTCATTCCATAGTCTTTGTGATATATCCATTTTGCACTATTTGATGAGAATGCTTTGATAGCTGCTCTTATCAAACTGTATTTATGAGCGGCTTAATCAAATGATTCTACTAAATTTATTGCACGGACTTCTTTAACGAAATTACCAATGGTTCTGAAAAATCCACTGGAAAATTCAGTTTTCATATGATCCATGTGCTCAGCAGCTATATCTCTGAAAATTTGTAGTGCCTCGTAAGCCATATTTCTCGCATTGCAATTTCTTATTCTAAAGACGATAGTATACTTTGTACTATTTTTCTTATCATCAGTCTCTAATAGTTACAACTTCTGAGTTAAAGTGAAATCTGCATCTCCAAGATCATCATTAGTTATTTGCAAGGCTCCTAGTTCTCTTATCGGATATATAAAATCAAAACTTCTAACTTTCCAATTGATTTATTTTCTCTCAAGGAAAGCATCGTCGAACCACTTCTCAGTTGCTGACTCAAGTTAGAACCTGTTTGCTTCCTTCTTTCTAGACACGTTGTCCTCTTTATAGTCTATAATCGCTGAAAGCCCACGGTCAGGTTGATACTATCTTATTGTTTTCGACTTGTAACCACGCCAGGCGTCGTTATCTTTAAAGAGGCCTTTAAGGTAGTTAAAGATTTGTGTCGTTGAACCCATTAAGTTTGCCTTAATGCTGACCTTGTAAATTTCTGGATTAATATTTGGGAGTGCTAAAGCAGCTGAGGTATCGACTGTTCTCTCGACCATAATTAAAATTTAGTAAACTTTCCGAAATCTTATTAAATACTTTCTCAACCGTCTACATTAACATTTATTTTAAACGTTCATACTCGGGGTTTTGGGGTTTTGGGGTTTTGGGG